GAAGAGAATTTTCACTCATTTATTCCTCACTCAGTTCAATATTAAATTGAATAATCTTATGATCTGATTCTGATGTTTTATTTAAATCAATAAACTAGTTTATAAGTCTTTTTTTCATTAGATTTTATGATATGAAGATTAGATCTATAATAGATTTCTGTTTCATGTCTTTTCTAAAGAATGTTTCTTGATCAGACTTGTTAACTAAATCTATTAAATGCTTAAAGATTCATTCAATCAGATTATCAGCTCTTACTGCTCTTTTACATTCTGAATTTCATCAGAGATGATGTGTATTGAAATCTTCTGTAATTATAGAGTTTCTTGATAGAGTTATGTTCAGAAATTCTCTATTAATTATTCAGATGTTATTATTTTTCTTCAATGACTTTTCATTATAGATATTTATAAGCTGTATAGTATCAAACTCATTCTCTTTATCTATAATATCACTCACCAGAATATCAGAGTCAGACATGATATTAAATCTTAGATTAAATTGATATCTTGATCTCTTTCTTTCATAGATCACTACTCTTGACTTTATCTCAGACTTTTGAGGTATAAAGCAGTAGTAGCTTAAATGAGAAATGACATATTTTTACTCATCATCAAAATTCAGCTTCTGAAGCAGTATAAAATCAACTTTTTATTCAAATGCAATTTGAAGACAAGAATAAATATAATTTAAGTTTCTATCCACATTATTTTGAATAAATGTGATTTTTGAAGAGTTTTTAAACTTATGCTGAATTGTTCAAGAAATTCTGCAGTGAAGCTCATATCAGAATGTAAGAAATCCCACTTCTCATGAATTCTTTATCTCTATTTCTATCTCTCATGTAATCAATAGAGTTAGCGGCCCTTGACTACATATAACTATATAGACTGAAGTTTGTGAATACTATTCATAACTCAGCTTAAATACTATTATATATTAATCTCTATATTTTATCTTTCTATCATGAATACTTCTAGTAGTTAACAGTATATATTATACCAAGCTGTAAATATCTGAATAATTATCTGTGAGCACTTATTCTTACATTTCAAGCTAAGTCAGTCAGTAACTGTCTGTTATGACTGAAAGAACTAGAAACTTATATACTTCAATCTCTGTGAACTCTACTACAGACACTCAGAAGTAGTCACTTAAATTATAAATAATCTCTGTAAAAGAAGTCTCAGAGAACTTATTAATTACTTATAGAATATTATTCTCTGTATCTGTGACAGAGAAACTCTCTGAGCTCATAAATAAATCAATCTCAGTGAAGAACATTCTTGAGTATCTTTTATAAAATTAAGCTATTTTTCTATAAGAAATGCTTACTGTCTGTAAACATTCTTAAACTGAATCTCTAGATATAATCTTCAGAGACATTTATGAACTGAAAAGAAACTTTCTTAAGCTGTGATCACTTAAGATTACTTACTGAATCACAATCTATAAAAGCTTTTATAAGTTTGTGTTTAAAATTGACTTATAAGTCTGACTGTGTGATATAAAAGATTAAGAAGCTGTTATCTATATAATAACAGATCTCTACTATACTGAAGTCAAGAACTGACTAGATTATTTAGAGAATAATTATAAGAGATTTCACTGATCTGTTCTCAAGATCTATCTAGAGAATAAGTTAAGAGACTTTATAAGTCAGATAGAGAACATCTAAGCTATAATTATTAATATTAGAAAAAGAGATAAGAAATCTGATAAAGTCTACTTATAATACTTTATGAAATTATGATATGAATTGAGATCTATGAAAACAGAGCTCTGAAATAGAATCTGAATGATAATATTTATAAAGAGACTGAATAAAGATATATAGAATAAGCTCATTAAGTAAGACTCTAAGTTCTTAACTCTGAAGAAACTGATAACTCTTATTCATCACTTATAGATTACTGTGAGAGTCACAGACTTATAAAGAGTAAATCACTGATCAGCTCTGTAAGAATCAGAATAACAGAGAACAGATTTACTAAGAAAAGATAATAAGATATAGAGAGATTTATATTTGACTACTGAGCAGAGAGAGAGAGCTTTATAAGCTCTTATAAACAGAGTGTATAATAGAGAGATTAAGAAAAAGAGACTCTACTTTATCTATTCTAAATCAGAATATCTCTGTACAAACTGTTCAGATAAATCAAAATAGAAATTTAAGAAGTTATGAATAAAGTCAGTAACAGTCTTCTTAAGAGTCTTGAAGCTAATATCTGAATCTGTTACTTCTTTAATAAAAATATATACTTATAAAGAAAGACTGCACTGCAGTACTACTATCTTATAAGTATAAGAAGTATTAATAAATTCAGAATCTCAGATCACTGTAGTGTCTTTAAAGCTTACAGAGTGAATAAGCTGAATAATAGAAACTGAGAATCTGCTTTTATAATAAGCAGAATGTAAGAACTCAGATCTGAGAACTGAGAGACTTATAAGAGCTATCTTTGAATTATAAGATCTCTCTGAAATCTGAAGAAGATTTGTAGAAACTGTGATTATTACAGATATCACAGATAACATGTACTTAAGACTTGTATAACTTCAAAGATACAATTCATACATAGCTGTTTATAAGTCAGGTTTATACTTCTGATCAGTGTTAACAGACTCACTTATAGAGATAGAATCAGTTGATACTGTAGACTTAATTAGAGAAGATAAACTTATCTATATAAGAACTTTATAAATGTCTGAGAACTTTACAGTCATGAAAACTGAGCTTCAGATATCAGAGAAATATCAAGATCTCACAGAGATATTCAGTTCAGCTAAGACAGCTAAGCTTTCATATTATCATGAGAAGAATCTAATAATAGATTTAATAGAAGAATAGAAACTCTTCTAAGAATCAATCTATAAGCTCTTTTATCATGAGACAGAGATCTTACAGACTTACATAAAGAAAAATCTGAAGAATAACTTTATTCAATTTTCACAGATCTCTGCAGAAGCCTCTGTGATATTTATAAAGAAGAAGAATAAAGATTTCAGATTATATATAAACTACTGTGATCTGAACTTTAAGATAATAAAGAGTTACTATTCTCTATCTCTGATTAAGAATGTGATTAACTGTCTCACAGAAGCTGTCATATTTATACAACTGAATATAATTAATGTATATATACAGCTATAAATACAGTCTGAGAATGAATGAAAGACTGTCTTTAAAATCATGCTGAAATTATTTAAATATCTAGTAATATCTTTTAATTTAACTAATACTCTCACAGTATTTCAGTCTTTTATTAATAAAATACTTTGTATATATCTGAATATCTTTGTGATAATATATCTGAATAATGTGATAATGTACTCTGTGAAGAAGAAAGAACACACTGACTATATATAAACTGTGTTAAAGATCTTAGATAAGATAGAACTGTATATTAAGCTTATAAAGTACAACTTCAGTATCTATCAGATTAATTTCCTAGAATATATGATTATCACAGATAATATTCAGATGAAATCTTCATAGATTGAGACTATTCTATTATAATCAGAGTTAACTAGTATTTATGAGATTCAGATCTTTCTGAGCTTTATGAATTTCTATAGATAATTTATCTTTGTATTTATAAGAATCTTCTTAACTCTTACAAATATACTGAAGAGTGAAAATAAGAAGAAGTTATTTCATAAATAAAGAATGAAAAGATTGTTAAGAAGAGAGAACTGTAAGAACTTTCTTATCTCAGAAGCTCACAGAGCTTTTATAAGATTGAAACAGATATTTATAGATACAGTGATACTATTTCACTTTAATCTCTTACTCTTAATCAGATTAAAGACAGATATCTTCTTCTTTATAATTTCAGAAATAGTCTTATAACTACAGTTAAATAAGAACTGAATTTCAGTGATCTTTTTCTTATAAAAGATACAATCTGTAGAGATTAACTATAGCATTTATAATCAGAAGCTTCTTATAATAGTGAAATTCTTCTATCACTAATATCACTACTTTAAGAGTCTTATAACAGTAATTACTATTAGAACTGATTATAATAGCTTATAACAGTTTACTTTGATAAAGAAACTCTTGCAGTGACAGATTTGCTGAGCTCAGAGACTGAGTGAATTCTGATTCAAGATAGAGTATATTAAGAGAACTAAGAACTCAGTGAATGAACTCTCTCACAGATCTGACTATGTTAAGAAGATCAGAACAACAGATACAGAGAGACTAGAGAAGATGAAAAAGCTTTATAAAATACTCAGACTGAGTGTTGTAAAGAAATTGTAAGAGGTCTATGCTGAATAGATTAGTATAATATATAGGTCTGTGATTCAAAGGTTGCTTGAGTCAGCATATGATTACAGGTGTACACTGGCTTCTTATATACTGTACACTAAATTAATTGATGACCGCTATGGCCTCTTTACATTTGTAAGCAAGTTTAGAAGCAGCTGTATTATCTCTGACAGTTGTACATTCTTTCAAATCACATCCTCTCTCATCAGATTCAGTCATGCTTACATGATTATAATGTATACTCTAGCTTCATGCAGATTAGTGTGTCACTAGTGTTTACAATTATGTGATCTATCTCTAATTCAGCTAGTGTTCTATGTACACTCTCACAAAGAAACTTTCACTATATTACATCACTTATTTACTAACTTTTCTCATTCTTCAATTATCTTTTTTATCATTATTATCATTAAATGTCATCATCTCATTCAAGATTCCTGTCTCTTCTCTCATTTAACATCTTCTATCTGTTATTCATCTATTACATTGTACACATTTCTGGTGATGACTCTCTATTCTTATAATAAGTGTTCTTATAGTGCTCATACCAGGCAGTTTGTTAGCAGTAAGTGTAATATATTATGAAATATAATCAGGACTTATTTTCTTTTAATAATTATCAGAATATATTATCATGAATGACACATCTTCTTCATCTTTTTATACACTCTCAATCTTCTTCTTCTAGTAGGTATCTGATTGTGTTTTATATAAATACAGATACAGATATTTTATTTTAATTTATATAAAATTTTCACATGTTGACAGATCTACATCTGCTGATGATAGTGAATATCTCAATATTGAATTATTAATTAAAAACTTGAAGAATATGATAATGAAGAAATTGTTTATATTATATATAACTGAGTCTCTCACATCTCTTTCTACTCTCTCTGTTTCTTTCTCTGTCACTCTCTCTCAATCTCTTATATCTGTCTCTGTGTCTGATTCTCCTGCTTCTGCTATCTCTGTTTCTGTAACTTTCACTCTCACTACTTCTGCTCTCTCTGCTTCTACTGTCTCTGCTTTTATTATCAGCTCTTCTCATTTTAAGAAGATGTTATATAGACTTAATAAATCATATTTCTCAGTATATACACTCTTACTCTTCTTATTAATCTCTAAAATAATTTATTATACAAAGACTGTGTATAATATAACTATCTGAAGCTCAGTTATAGACACTGATTATTACATTCATTTTAAATATTTATAATAAAATAATTATTTATTTATATCAGAGAATCACTCTCTCTCTCAGCAGTGTTAAAATTATAAGTCTTTTCTTTTATCATCTTTTCTTTCTAACACTGATTTTCTTATTCTTAGAGAAAATCATTATGAGTTTTATTATATATAAAGTTATAATATTCACAGATATTAAGAAACTTTTTATAACTGTTTAATTCAATATTATAGATATATCTGCTCTAATGAATATCTTCAGAATAATTAATCTGTATCAGTCTATTCTCTGATATTTATCATCTGACTTTGTGATGCAGATGAAGAATATTTATATTTTTAGAAACAGAAATATAAATATTATACTCTTTTATATCTGTAAATATGAGACTTGTATATCTGATCTGAAATGTTATTATAAGAATAAGCTGTTTATATACTATATTCTGTTTTCTGTATTTCTCTGTATCTCTCTCTCTCTTTCTGAGAAGTCTCATGTATGTTATAATTGTGTGTATAACTCTAAGATTAGTGAGTATTTATTTAGTAACTGTTCTTATCTCTGATTTTGTAGTTCTTGTACACTAATAATGATTCTTAGTTACTTCAGCATCAGAGATCATTCTAATCAAAGATGATTACATCACTGAGACTACTCTCTTTCACTCTCAAGCTTCTTCTGTCACTTTCTCTTTCTTCTCTGTGAAGAAGATTGTGTGCATATCAAATTATAAGTATTCAACTCTGAGTGACTCTCACTATCATTTATTCAGTTCTGTACTCTCTTCTTCTTTTATTTCTTCTATCTCTGTCTTCTCTATCTTAGCTTCTGATTCTGCAGGTCTCACACTCTTCTTCAGTTTTTCTACACATATATATATACATTTCTATATTGGCATTTCAGTCAATCTTGCAATTAATAACATTAATGTCATATACAGAGTGATAGAGAAATTGAAGATATATGTGATATTGTTGTAAGAGCAGCTTGTAGCTCTTGAATCTCTTACAGATCTTAAGTTTTGAGATTTTCTTTATTTTTAATGTTTTTCAGATAATGTGATGTTGAAAATAGATTAAATATGTAATATATGAAAATAAATGAGATATATATGATAATATTTATCTTTTACAGCTGATTCTTATAGTTGATAATTAATTCATTATCTCTTCTCTTTTCTAACACTTTTCCTTTGTCTGCTAGTCACTACTCTTACATAATCTCTATATAATATAGTGTTCAGTAACTACATTTAACAGCTTTTATCTCTTATGATTCTATCTCATGTATTATACTGTCTCTCTTCATCTGCTCAGACTACTACAGTGAACAGTTTATTAAAACTAATCTTACTCAATCTCTGAGTATTTTCAGAGATTGAAATAACTTGATCTCATATATCTGTGAATGTTTCAGATGCTTCATCCTCTGTTATCTTCATAATTGAACTGATATAAACAGTTAAATTCAACTCTGAGTTTCTTTTTCTTCTGTGATCTGATTCATATATAAGTCTACTACTCTGAGACTGCTCTTTACTGTGTTGCATCTGCTGTCTGCAGTGCATTATTATATAACTGACTATAGTCTCATCACTTATTAAAGTGTGATATTTATCTAATTTCTTCATTTCTTCTCATTCTTTTTTTATAATTATGAAAAGATCAGAATAAGTGAGATTATCTGATTCATAAGTATCTATGATTTCTCTTACTTTGTAAGACTTTTCAATTATAAGTCTCTTCTTTTTCAATACTAATAATAGTGCTGTGAATAATTATAATTCACTCAGATCTTGCATCTTTGCTTTTATAAGATATAAATTATTTATTCAGTTATATAAGACTCATCTCTCTGATTCTTTTAATGTGTATATTCTCAGGGAATATGATTTAAGTATTTTATATAACTTAAATTATCTAGATTGAAACTTCTCAGAACTCTCATTGTGTATAAGAACTTATATTCTCATCTTGAGACTTAATTTCTTAACTAGTGAGTCTTGTATTCTTTTTGATTGAATTGCTCAGTTCAGAAGTAACTTATTAGCTTTTACACATGTATAACTGATCTCTTTCAATCTTGATTTCATGTTCACAACTGCTGTGTCTGTGACTGTTGTGTTCACAACTATTGTTTCTGCTGCATCTGCAACTGATTCATTCACAATCACTGTTTTCTTCCTCACTTTTTTCAAAGCATTCTTCAGGATGCGTGGATGCAATTCATACAATAGATAGAATAGTGAACACTTGAAGACTGCATGCTGTCAAATTTATGTGATTAATAGTGCTTAACTGAGATATTCATCTCATAATTATATCAGCTTACTCACTAGATATTTTATCAGTATATTACTCAAGATTTTATTCAAGTGTTTCATCTTTCTGTTTATCTATGAATGATATGATATTGTTCTATAATGTCTTGTCTGTAACTGGCTCATGAAATGTCTCACTACTTCTTCTATGAGATTTGTACTGTTATCAGTTAAAATCTCATACAGCATTTCATAGTTAATATAGATCTCATTATATAGAAACTTTACTGTCATCTTCTCTATTATCTCTGAAACTGCTTTTATGACTGATCAGTCAGTAGTGTAATTAATAGCAGTGATTATTCATTGATTTTCATTTGATATTCACAGCAGTATATCTATGAGATTCATCTCTTATTATTTGAACAGTTGTATCATATATTTCATCTGATGTTATACTTTCTTATGTTTTAATCCTTTCTTAGATTCTTTTACAATCTGATAATTCAAACACTCATGAGTATACATCTGAATATTCTCAGTCATGCTTGGCCAGTACACTCTTGATTTGAGTACACTCATGAGTTTAGGACTTTCTAAGTGACTGAATTCCTTATGTATACAAGTCATCAAGTTGTGTCTAAATGAATATTCTAGATAGAGAGCTTCTGTATATTCTAGATTATAATAAAGTAGAACATCATTTTTCAATTTTCTCAGCTTGAAGTTTGAAAGTATCTCTTCTATCACTTTTACAAGATGCTTATCATTCAATATCTTACTGTTCTTCAAGTGAGAGATCATTATATTCACTCATTCTGATTTCTTGTATTTTCTTAGTATATTTAACATGAACTTTTCTTATATCTGATTCATAGAACTCTCACTCATGAAATTAAGTCTATGACTGATTACATCAGATATCACAGTGTCTGACTTCTTTCAGTATTTAATATTAAGATTATACACTTAAAACTCTGAGATTCAATATACTAAGTATTTGAAAGGTTTTATCATTGATTGTAGATAGATGAGACTTTCAAGATTTGTAATCACTGTTATTATATACTCATTATTACTATATCTATTTTATAATACTAGTGTATACTTAATCACTAGTAATTTCTTTTTATACACTGAATAATTGAGCTCAGTGTCTGATAGTTTTCTATTATTATATGTCACTGAGTGTGACTTGTCATTCTTACTCATCTGTAGAAGAGTGTCTCTGATAGCTCATTTAAATATATCTGTCTTAATATAGAAAGATTTATCATGATCTGATTGAATAAGTACTGAGAATGTTATTACACATTTTCTCAGTGTGAGAAAAGTCTCTTTACACACAGTATTTCAGATAATTGACTGAAACTTCTTCTTCTACAGATTAGTATCTATTTCTCTTAAGAGATCTGAGAGTGATGCAGCTATTTATATGAAATTCTTAATAAATCTGCAGTAATATAAGATTAACTCAAGAAACTATTATATATAGTGTACATTTCTCAGCTGTAACTAATTTGCTATGACATTCAATTTCTCTGAAATGAAGTGTATACAGTTATCACTCACTATATATTCTATGAACTTCAACTCTTTCATTTCAAACACATACTTTATTGATTTGATATAGAGCTTATACTCTGTCAGAGTTATAAGCACTTTATCAAGATACTTCATATATTCATTATATGAGTTTGAAAAGACTGGAATGTTATTGAGATATACAAGATATAAGGTTTCATTCTATTTATAAAGAATTGTATTCATCATTATTTAAAAGATGACAGGTACATTTATTAGACTGAATGATATTATCAGGAATTTGAACTTCTCTCATTGTATATTAAATATAGTTTATAATACTGACAGTTCATCTATACAGATCTGTCAGTATTCTGAGAGAAGATTAATCTTTGATAGATATTAAGTGTTTTCAACTGTATTCAACTATTATTGAATTCATAACAGTGAATATTCATTCTTGATCATAAGCTTCTTAAGTGCTTGATAATCAATACACATTCATCACTCTTCATCTGTCTTTTTCATGAATAGAACTGAAAAGTCTGATACACTTAATAAGAGTTATATAAGACTATGTTCTAGAAGGTCTGTGATCTGATACTTCTGTTCTTCAAGATGTGTTTGTGACAGAGGGTACACATTCTGATTGACTGATTTCATGTCTCTCATGTTAATCTCATGTATAAATCCTTATTTCAGTGATAATTCTGATAAAAGTTCTGTTCAGAAGATCTTCTCATACTTCTTCAGAAGCTTCTTCATATGCTTATTCTCTCACATATTTTTTATCTTAGTTTTCTTCACTTCTGAGTTCTGTATAATATACAGAATGCTTTCAGATGAGATTTTGTGAATCATTCTCTTTACTTATTAATGTATAAGCAGATTTAACTCTTCTATATCAGAGACATGAAATGTCCTTCTCATATCAGTTAATAGAATTATATAAACTGTTTTCTTTCTATCAGTTAACTGTATATAACATGTACATCATTGAATCTGTGAATTGAATCTTTGAAATTAATTAAGTCTGAGAATAAGATTGTATTTCACATTCTGCAGCTCTCATGCTCAAATATAACAAGATCATTCTTTGAAGTGTAAGAAAACTCTTACTCTTGCAGATAATATCAAATATCAGTTATCAGATAATCTTATATATTAAGAATTCTTTATTCAGCAGATTCCTTTCAGTCTTCAGATTATATAATTATTAATATATTATATAGATGCTTCTGTATCTGTTAATACTTTTATAGTCATCTCTCAATTCTTATTCAAGTGCCTCTTATACATTAATATTTCAGGTCTCAAGATATTGAGATGAGTATCTGCTTCATTCTCACTCACATCTAATTCAGAAGCCTGCTTTCTCTTGATATTTGTAGAATTCAGAGAGTCATTTAACACAGACATCTCTTTTACTTTGAAGACTTTTTATAGAATATCAGTGAGTGTCTCTGAACTCACTGATTCTGCTAGTTTTTTGACTTTCTTATTTCTCTTAACTGTGCACACTGTGTACAATTCTTTGTATCATGATTCTGATATTCACAGTTAAAGCAAGCTTAATACTCATAATATCAAGATTTTCACTCAGAGAATTTCTTTTTCAGAGAATTCAGTGCTTTAGCAATGACATTCAAATCTAGATTCATTATATCTGAGTGTGTGACTTGTATTATAGAAGTCTGATTATCTATTCTCTGTTAAAGTATACTTGATTGCAGTATTTTCTGTCACAGTTGACTCACTTATTTCTGTATAATAAGAATGTTATATGCTTTCTTCACTATGTCTGACTGTGAGATTAAGTATTTTCATTTCACTCTCAACTCAGATGTAATACTATAAATGAAGATCTGTAAATAGAAAGATATTGAAAGCTCTTCATTCAATACAAGATAGTGTAAACTGAAGTATATAAAGTATGATATAAGATTACTCACTTATCTACACT